GTAAATTTCCTACCGTAAATATATCAAAACTTAATTTTTGATTAGTAATATGCATTGCTAAGAACTTAATTTGAACAACTTTAAAGATGATTTTCTCAATATTTTGATTTTTTTGCACCCTCAGATTCCAGATTTTCAAATAGTTGTATCTCGGCCAAAAAAACAAACCATACATCAATGGAAAGCTTGTTTATTCAGCTTTCAGATGATGCATGAATCTCAATTTCTTAAAAATGGCCCTTATGACTGGTTTTGTGCTCCAGGGTCACAAATGTTCAAAAGTCAGTGTGAAATCAAAACACGCACGCACCCCTGAGGAGGATTCTTGTCCAGCCAGCCCACTTTAATCACGGGGACGCTGGTGGAGGCGGGGTCTTCCCGAGGGGGCGGAGCACTGACGTGGCCTGTGATTGGCAGGTAGATGCTGCTCTGAGAGCCGGAGATCGAACCCAAATCTTCGATCCATGAACTCCGTCTGAGAGAGAGAGAGAGATGAGATCAGCACAAGAGGGAAGTGTTACATCACATTACAACACGACATGAATTTCTCACATTGCACAATCAACATCAACAAACTAAATTTAACTGTACAATGACAAATCAGGAACATATACATTTGCAAAATCGCTAACAGCAGGAAAATAAAAGCAACTCACTTCAGGGACACAGATTCGTAAGAGATGGTGTCATCGTCTAGTAGCTCGTCGTCGCTGCACAGGCTGCTGTAACGGGGTTTCGTCGCCTTGGGAACCATCAAGGACATCTATTGGAGGAAGCAGCTGTCAATCATACAGTGTCTGTCGCTATTGGACAATTCTGGGAATAAAACAACGCACCTTGCTGGCCATGTCTATGAGTTTAGCGTCTCTGCTGAGCTCGCGCTCGTCATATTCATCTGAACTTTCATCTGAATCCAACTCTACACAGAAGAGAACAGAATGAGGGAAACGGGAAGAGATATAGAGATGCAGATACATTTCAATGCAACATTTCTGTATCCCACAATGCAATGCGCCCGACTCGACCTTCCAAATGCTGTGTGATGGATGAACTGGAAATTTTTTTTGTTTTTTTTTAACATCTTACTGACTCAAAAATAAGACATTATTAAAAATATATTATTCAAATTATAAAAAATATTATTAAAAATAAGACCAGTCATAAGGGTAAATTTTTTCGAAATTGAGATGTATGCATCATCTGAAAGCTGAATAAATAATCTTTCCATTGATGTATGGTTTGTTAGGATAGGACAATATTTGGCTGAGATACAACTATTTGAAAATCTGGAATCTGAGGGTGCAAAAAAATCTAAATATTGAGAAAATCATCTTTAAAGTTGTCCAAATGAAGTTCTTAGCAATGCATATTACTAATCAAAAATTAAGTTTTGATATATTTACGGTAGGAAACTTACAAAATATCTTCATGGAACATGATCTTTACTTAATATCCTAATGATTTTTGGCGTAAATCAAAAATCAATAATTTTGACCCATACAATGTATTGTTGGCTATTGCTACAAATATACCCCAGCGACTTAAGACTGCTTTTGTGCTGCAGGCTCACATTTTTGAACACTAAATTGTGTTAAAGTGCAAAACTGCATGTTTTTTTAGGGAAAACTTCCCTAAAAAAACAGGCACAGCTGGCCAATCAGACTGAAGCTTGCAATTCTGACAAGACGGTTTCTTCAAAACTTTTCACACTCACACACACACACACACTCATGCACGCACACACACGCACGCACTCACTCGAGCACGCACACCTGCGCACACACACACACACACACACTCACTCACACACTCATGCACTCACACACACACATGCACACACACACACTTACGCACGCACGCACACACACACACAAAATGTTGCCCTGTGTATCATCAGTCTAAGAGCTACTACAGATAATTAAAATCTGGTCTGACGAGATCTGCGACTCCAGCTGCGGCGGTTCACACAGAGAAACTCAACAAAAGAAGATGACACCAAGAACAATGATAAAATCCTGAGGAATGTAATTCTGGTTCCGATTCCACTTAATCATTCCGGTTCCTCAATGACTCCACCAAGACTTTAGAGGGAGAAACGAAGGACGCGGTTTAGAAAACAATTACACGGCCGTTTCTAGTGTGTTCTGGGTGTTACGAGGCAGTTTCAGTACACTGACCCAAGCAAACAGAACCCATCTTTGTCACTGCGCCTCTTAAAACGCATACGAGGTGTTTAAGACAGACTGAGAGCGACCGCAGCGGTGAACAAACCACAAACAGCATTAATGCATGAGAACTGTGCAGTGGTGGATGAAGTAAAAGCCTCACGTGAGTAAAAGTAAAGATATCTCACCAGAAAATGACTTTGGCTGAAGTTGAAGTCACCGTTTAGAATATTACTTGAGTACAAGTTTTAAAGTATGTGATATTTATTATACTTAAGTATGAAAAGTATTTTTGCAATATTAAATGTACTTTAAAGATACTTAACAAGTGATTTGTTTAACATTTACATCATGTTGACAACATGTGTGCTGCACTTGGAATAGAATTCTCTTTAACTAGAGGGTTAATAAAGAAAAAATTACTTGAATCATGTTGTAGTTACATTTTCAAGTTGACTAGTTAAAAATAATTTTTTTTAAATCGAGAATCGGTCAAACATTCTGAAAGTCATGACACATTTTCTTACGCAGTGTTGGGGAAAGTTACTTTTAAAAGTAATGCATTACAATATTGCGTTACTCCATAAAAAAGTAACTGATTGTGTTACTTAGTTACTTTTTATGGAAAGTAATGCATTATGTTGTTTTGCGTTACTTTTTGTCACCTGGGCTGGGCTTGCTTATTTATTTTTAATAACAGAAAAACCAAAAGTTATATTTTTGGCTACTGTAAAGGTCCTTTCACACCAAGAGTGAAATTAATAAGCCTCTGCACTTACTCCCAATTTCTCTCAACACGGCGACAAAAAAAAGGTGTCAGTAAATCAATAGGAAAACACACTAACTTGCGTTACTAATTTGAAAAAGTAACTCAGATATTTTCTTGTTCATTTAAAAGTAATGCGCTACTTTGCTAGTAGGGATGCACCGAATGTTCGGCAACCAAAATAAACGTTCGGCCGAATAAGCAAAAAGACACAATAAATTGTACCGAAACAATGACGTGACACGATCAAATAGAGAGGCGCATTAATGCAGCAAACATGTCGGCAGTGTGAAAGTATTTAAAAGTGTCCAAAAAAAGATGCAAAAATCATTACAAGCACTGACAGCGAGAGACTGTTTAGTGCTGCTTCACATGTCTCCGATGAGAAGAGGAAGGGTTGGTTGTTTCTGGTTACTGTATGATGATTGAAATCGCGAAATAGCCTTAAACAATTAGTAACTCGTGGCAGATCTGCTTGTTCAAAGTCCAAAGCACGAGGAAAATCTGCACTGAAACAGTGTTACTCGACAGTTGCTCAGTCACATTTTTATGCATTTTTAAAATAAAATAAGTAAGACAACAATAATGATAATAATAATTACAACACCTCTATTAATGCATTTATTATAACACTTACACATAGTGTTCAAATTGGGATCTGTAATATTTTCTAATGTTTTAAAAGAAGCCTCTTCTGCTCAGCAAGGCTGCTTTTATTTGTACAGTAAAAAATACATGCCTGATTCAAGAAGGGGGGTTTTGTTGGTATAGTGTCTGCTAGAATGTTCAGTGTTAAGTAAATATTTTTTAATTTATGTTTTGTTACTGATTTTTTCTTTGAAAAGCTAGACAAAACAGTAAAGAGCAAATTTTGGCTATTTAATTTATGCAATGGTGAAAAAAACTGGCAAAATATATGGGGGAAAAAATGTGAAAAACCGTGTATACAGCCTTCAGCCAAGAATTTTCATTTCGGTGCATCCCTATTTGCCAGTTACTTGAAAAAAGTAATCTGATTACGTAACTTGCATTACTTGTAATGCGTTACCCCTAGGGATGTAACGATTAACCGCGAGCCGGTTGAAAATCGATTTAAATGTGACGATTCAAATCGGTTGAGATGCTAAACAAATCACGATTCAATTAGGGGTAACTTTAGGAGTTTATATGAATATATGTCTGAGGGGAACTTACTCTTTCGATGGGTTTTTTTTTTCTTTTCCTCTTGCCTCTGTATAATGCATATTAAAGTTCATAAGTGCAGCGCTCCTTTGTTTACAGCGGTAACCAAAGAAACACTGTATCATTGCTGTTCATAAGTGCAGCGCTGCTTTGTTTACAGCGGTAACCAAGGAAACACTGTATCATTGCTGTTCATAAGTGCAGCGCTGCTTTGTTTACAGCGGTAACCAAGGAAACACTGTATCACTGCTGTTCATAAGCTGCTTTGTTTACAGCGGTAACCAAGGAAACACTATCATTGCTGTTCATAAG